CGTGGGCATTACGGGAGAATAATGCCCTACAATTCAGTGACAATTAACCAATCAGAGCGCGCGTTATATCGGCCACAAGCCAAAGCCATATAATAAATAATAATTAATGGCTTTCATGCAAAAAGGGCGTATATAGCATTTTGGGCCAATTTTTAATTTTTGCAGGATCAAGCTAATTTTCGGCAGACTGACTTGTTTTGACATGAAAAGCATTGTTGCGTAATTTTTTTGTTGATTTGCGCTTTGTTTTTGAGAAATAGCGTATGCAAAAAAACTCAGTTTTCCAAGGGTATCTTTTGGAGATCTTTTGTTGAGCAAAAAACAAAAGAAACCTTTGTTTCGCTAAACGATAAAGTCACCGAAGCGTGGTATTTGCTGCTAGTTTTATTATTCATATAATTACACAATTCTTTTACTGTTGCTTCATTAGGGCAAGCAAATAACGCGCTGAATGGGCCGGATTCGAGTTTGTTTTGTTGTGACACTGGTTCAATACGAGGTCGGTCAATTTTTTTTTTTTTTTTCGGTCTATTTCTCTACTTCTTTCAAAAATCAAAACATCTATTTAAAAAAAAAAACCGTGCTGTCGAAGCTGCTAAAAGTAACCGTTTAAGTTTGCGCCGCGTCAAAATCCACCTTGGAAGGATTCGCTCCAAAAGATGCAGCTCGGAAAACTGAGTTTTTTTGCATATGTTATTTCTCGAAAACGAAGCGCAAATCAACAAAAACAATGCTTACGCAATGATGCTTTTCATGTCAAAACAAGTCAGTCTGCCAAAAATTAGCTCAATCCTGCAAAAAGAAAAAAATCGACCGAAAATGATATATATGCCCTTTTTGCATGAAAGCCTTAAATTGTTTTTAGCATGAAGCCAATTAAAAGTGCAGTGTAAGTTGACAGTATTACACCCTTTAAGACAGTACACGTAGCTACAATGTAAATGTACATGTATGTACTATACAGTGTTCCCACAATCAGCAATAACAAGATTGACACTAGATTTCTGTACAATGAATGCAGTCTGTCTGTATGATCATGTGATAATTATTCACTGAGACATATTTACTTAAAGGAATATCCATACCCCTCCCATGAAAGGGTTTTTGGTTGGCAACCTCCCACTGCTCCAGAGTTCCAGTGTACTTTCCTCTCCCCTTCAGAATTTCCATTACCTTTCCTTTGTACTACCAAATCTCTGAAGTTAAACAGTATACATGTACAATACGAGTACACCATGGAATTGTTTTGCTGAATCTTGATCAAGACAGGGAAACGTTGAGCACATTAAAAATATATATATATTTCTTAACCTATGCTAAGTCTAATTTATTATTAAAGTATATTTGCATGCACTATGTGTACATGTACATGTCATGCTAGCACTGCACGCTATACCTGTATGTTCACATATATACCTTATGAAGAGTTGTCTTGGCCTGATCAAAGATTTGATTGAATGCTCTGGAATGTTCCTTCAGCACGTTTTTTGTTATATCTGTAAAATGGTAACATACAAGTGAGGTGCATCAAGAGCTGAGCCATGATTTAAATGCAGGACAATAATTTAGGAATAATGGGAAATTTGCTAGTAGTAAAACTACATGTACCTTTGAGTCTAAAATTGAAGGGGTGCATGGAAAAAAGCATTAAGTGACTCTTGATCTCAAGTCAAATTCTCCTTATTTATGGATTTATAATAAACTGTGCATGTATGTCGGGTAAGAAAACATAATAAATTCTTCACATTCCTCTCTATGTTAATATAAGTTACACCCTGTCTAGATGTTAACGTAATGCAACAACATAACAGAAGCAGGCGGTATGCCAGCTGTAATTCCATCTGCCCTAATTGTAAGCGTGAGACTGAAGGAGGTTGTTCTTTTGCTGTATCAGCAGCAAGACTCTGTTAAGTCCTTAAAAACTCATTTATTTAAAATGATCTTTGCAGCACAGCAACATTTGGACCATTTTAGGATTTAACTTTTTAAATTTAAGTTTTTAATCTTATTGTAATTAATATACTCGCGTCTCTCATAATTTTAGGTTTTAACTTTTATTATATTACATGTATATATTTGTATTCATAGTTTTATTTTCTAAGGGCCACAAGTTTATTAGCCTTTGGCTATTAAGTGTTTAACCGTCCTTAAATAGTCTTTATCATTATTGTTATTATTTATTATTTATTATTTATTATTATTATTATTACTGCACACATACCTCCACGTTTGATGGGATATTTTTTCCTGTCCGAAAATAATAAATACCTGACAACTTCAACAACCTGTTAAAGACAAAGAAATAGGAGAAACAAAGCAAGATGATTGATTTATCTGTACTGTCACTGACATCATAACTCTTAGTGTTAACAAAGGCTGATACATCTTTGACTTCTTCACTGATAGTGATGTTACAATAACAAATATACATGTATAAGTTCATGGTTGGAAATAATAGCAATTATAATCTATTAAATATTTTCGCTCATGCATGATTGGTCTAAACACGTCACGTGACTGAATATTCCCCGGCTGAAACTGGGGAATATCTGAGAATATTCCTCAATTTTCAAAACTGTGTGTGTTGCGAAAAAGATTTGACAAATAATAAACACAATAGCCTCCATTTGGGGTGAAAATACACTATGCTCGGACATTTGTCCTAGGACATTATCTGTTCCACGAAGCTCACAGTCTTCCTCGAGCTACGCTCTCTGAAAACTGTTCGCTCCATGGAACAGATAATGTCCATGGACAAATATGCTAGTCTATTTTCGTGCCAAATGGAGGCTACTGTTTATATAGTTTTGAATAGTCATGGTCAGGGCTGGCATTTGCTACGGATGTGGAGTACAAGGGTACAGGCGACTCAAACCTTAATGATAGCCCCGATGGTTAGCCTGAATAACACTGAGCCTGAATTGCACTCTAGTTAGCCCCCNCCCCCCAAAAAAAAAGAGAGGAAAAAAAAGACAAACCTTTCTTTTGAGTTCATCTTTAGAGATGTCTTTTTGATTTTGTGTTTTCTGACTCTGTGACTTGGTAGTCTGCGTGTAATCAACTTCTATTTCTTCATCTTCGTCATTACTACGCCTGCAGTTTGGTTCAACAGAATGTTTTCAGTTAAGCCTTAAATGCGAGGGAGCTTATTTTTAAGGGTTTTCATCAAACAATCCAGGGCTATGCAATCAAAATGGCAACTCTCATGACATCGTATACCTACAGTGTACAGCATAGGATATCAGCCTTCATTTGCCATCACTGCATCAATCGATGATCAGAAAAGCAATAAATCAATCAATAAAATTAGGCCTAATATGATCCAAATGTTGTGCTACTGCCATGCTAAACTAAATTCAAGAATTAAATGTGACTTAAGCACAGCAGTAGCACAACATATGAAACCACTCAGTTCGACAGATTGAATTAAGTTTGGCAACTACATATACTTAGGATGAGAGGCCTTGCCGTGCCGCATGACAGTAGCGTCACTTGGCTACATCCAAACGGTGTGCTCTTGTCATGCCAAACTGAATATTTTTAGCCTGCTGTATCAGCTGCCATTGCTTTCCAGCATTTAAAATGGTTTTCAGTCAAGGCATACTTCTTCCGATCTTTGGCGCGACTGAATTAAATTTGACGTTTGAAACCAGCGTCAGTCTTTTGTCACACCACTGCTGGGCCAAGTCATTTCAGTTTGGCACTGCAGTAGCACAATGTTTGGACTAGGCCTTAGTTACATGTAGCTGGTATAAATTAGTATCAGTCAATCAATAATCACACAAAAGCCATTCAGCGATGGCTACTGATTGGCAAAACATGATGAAATTTGCAACCACTTGATACTAATTGATACCAATTAGTCCATTGATTGCCATTGGAAATCGATGGCAATCGATAAAAGGTCACACGTCCTCTTCACCAACTGGTCATCGGTTACCAATATCAATCGATTAATCGCTGATAGGTATCGGTTGGTATCGATTGTCATTGATCATCAATTTCATCGAGTGGACACCCTCGGATTAAAAAAAAAAGGTTTTATCTTTTATTTATTAATTAATTAATTTATTGATTTATTTATTTAAACTTATCTAACGTAAGCTTAAACTTATTCATTGTTCTCCTCTGGATACTGTTAAGTGTTGAACACTATTAAAGTACATGTAAGCTTACATTTACATGTAGATCTTCAGGATATTGACTTTCATCAACATTTGAATACTGCAGGGTCAAATTGACGGACTTTTCTGGCAGAGCACCTATATTTAAAGGGCCACTAAGATTATTGGATGTCAAGCATTACCTTGCTCGTGGCCTTTGAGATTGACTCGGCTCATCTTCCTGAAAAACAATGTAAGTTATTGAACATCTTATGACTCGATCGTCACAAATACTGCTCATTACAAACCTCCAGCTCTTCTAGTCTTCTCCTTTTGGTCTTGTCTTTCGCTTTTGGCATTGCGTTTGTATGAAAATAGAACGACAAAACCTATCACTGATTCCTCTCACATTGATTTCATGTCGATTTCCCGCCAAACTATTCGCTTGCTCAGGCGCTTATGTTTCTACGATACACTGCTGACATGAACCCGTTTTACTTGCGCCCAGTGTCCCTCTTTGAAAGACGAACGACTTCGAGTGGCTGCCAGTGGTCGTTCATCCGCTTCAGTCGTGTTACTGTTAACTTTGAATCATCGTTTCCCTAGAAATGGCTGTTGTACCTAAAGGCAAGAAAATTGTTAATGACACTACGCCAATGATATGCACCATCGAGGGTATTGCCAAGAAGGAACATGTTGTAAGAAGCAAACTTGTATTTACAGTGTTGTCTGTGCGTACATGTACATTTATACGAGATGCGAAATGTAATGCTCCGAACCGCGACAAACGTCTTATGCTTTTCGCTCGGTTATGTCGCAGGATTATATCATGAAAGTGCAACGAGGAATCAACCATGACGACTCTTGGCAGGTCAGTCTCAGCCGCATATGATGTGCACATGATTTGCATATGATGTGCGGGTTTAAACTTACATAATAGAGATAATAAATGAAAATTTGCGTTAAAGACCCATTGCTCCCGCGCCGGTGTAATAGGCTTTTGGTCATTGATCTTAAATCATCCAAATCCTGGGCTATTGTAATTAGCTTCAAGGCCCGTGGGGATTTGTCAAGGTTATTTACACAGTTCATCTAGTCATCATAACTTAAGAAACAACAGTTTTTGCAAAAGAGTGACAAAATCAGTAGTAGATTCTAATATTTGCTAAATCATTGAGTGAGGAATCAAAACTGATATATGGCAATCAGAACTGAAATCAAAATAATAGTAAGCTTGCATGTACAGGTGTATGTCTCAATTTGGCATGTGCTTTGTTGGGTGTGAAATTAGATCACACTTCTTGAACACTGGTTTCAAAAAATGGGACCACCCCATTTTCTCATCTTTCTTCCCTCAATAAATAGTGTACTTTTCATAATTTACATATTAAATAATGAATGAAACAGTTCTCTGAACATCTGCTCAGACTACAGGAGATTGAGATAGGTGTTTGATGGTGGAGGTGGTAGCTTTTGGGAAGCAGACCCGGGGAAGTGTTACTACTGACATGACAGGAATTATCTGCGAAAATCTGGTGCAATAATTAGTTACATTTAGTCTTCACCAAGTCAGGGCTTGAAAAAAGNAATGTTTGGCAACGTTTGTGTGACCTTCGGACAAGTTTTGAAGAATCTTTGGAGATCTTTGGAAAGTGGTTGGAAATCTTCAGAAAATCGTCAAAAACGTCGTCATCAGTACGTCTATATGATAAAAAGAACATTACAAGTTAGTTCGAAGATATGAATTGTATGTTCTTTTGGCAAGAACAATATCTCACTTGTTCGCTGCGCTCACTTGTGAGGTACTGTTCTTGCCACTTGAACATAAAATTCATATCTTCTCGCCACTGTGTAATATCCTCTATGTATTTCACAGGAACTATTTCATGTGAGACTTTCTTAGAAATAAAATACATGTCAGGGTTTTAAAATTTGATGATTAAGCAAAATACTATCCAATAATCACAGTTGGTATTTAATTTTTCATGTAACAGTTTTGGTCTTGTACTTACAGTATGATAACTCTATTGTGTGCGGAGCTCAGCAGAAACAATTGAAATAGAATACATTTATCAGGATTTTAAAATTTGTTGATCAAGCAAAATACAATATCAGCAACTGCCCATAATTTTTCATGTATACATGTAAGTCTTGGTCTTGTACTCATGATAACTCCATTGTGTGGAACACAGCCTTCGCTTATCACATCGAGTCCAAATCTCCTGCTCTTACTTTATCTTCCAAGCTTCTACACTGTATTCATCCATCTTAAATTCTTAAATTCATCCTTTCTACGTGTGGCTTCCCTCCTTCACTGGCTCTCTTACTCTAGACCTTGTTCATAAATGAAAAGATTAGTTCTGAATCTGTACGTCTAGTTTCTATAACTTGAACTTATATCATTATTCTTTTCCAAGGTTGTGCATCGTTATAGTGAATTTGTAACTCTACAATCAATTCTTGAGGTACTGAACAGTTTGTGTGACTTGTGTACGTGTATATAAACTTGTTTGAACACAATTTTAGTTCTTAGAAGCAGAATTCATCACACCCTCTTACTTTACCTGCATGCAACAGATTTTTTTTGTAAGAGAAACCTAGATATACACTACTTGTAAATGTATTGATTAGCTTCTAGAGGTTCATTGTACGCAGGCTTTAATAGCCAGATGGGCATCCAGACGTCCTGTTGTTTTATTTTTCATATGTTGCCTTATAAATAATATTGTTCATTAGTGCAGGCCCTAGAGCACATTAAATTTTTGGACACCCACTTTTCAAATCCTGGCTAAAAGCCTGATTGTATGCTATTGAAGTTTATTTACAAGGCCTTTTCTGCTAAAAATAAAGTGTTAGTTTTACCGCTGATTAAGACAATATTTTCATGTACTGTATGTACATGCAACATGCTCATTACAAATTTTGTTCTTGATTCAGGTATCTGGTATCGATCTTTCCCTGCCCCCAAAAAAGGTATTTGGTAATATGGATGCCACATTCATTGCTGAACGGCAGCAAGGTCTTCAGGTAGGTCAACTCTACCATGAACACTTACGTGTATTTTGTACTCTGCAAAATGTATACTGTCAAAATTTGTTCAGTCTACATGCAATCACTTGAGACGAAGAACTTAATGTGTACATTAACACATACACTGTACTGCTTTTTACTTTTTGCTCATGGCTTTAAAAGCTAAATGTTTGTCGCCGTGAGCTACTACTTTGCTGACAGCAGCTACATGTATATATACATGCACGTGCAAGAGCTGTCTCATTCCAGGAATAATTTAATTTTTTTGTCATCACTTCAAGACCTTGAGTCCATACAGTTGTGACTGAATGCGAGTGCCCAATATTTTTTTTTCAGAATTACATAAACTTGATATTGGCCCATCCAATTTTAACGCGGCATATTGCTGTTAAGAGATTCCTTGACCCAGCCAACTACTCCTGGGACTTTCAAGGCAAGTTGTCCATAAATTAAGTCTTGACATGTGTCTATCAGTGCTGTATAATGGGAAACATTTCATTAGGCTAATTAAAATCATTTAGTATACAGAAATGTTTGAAAGATTTTCAGTTAGTGTGAACCAGCCAAGTACCATCATAAATGATACTAGAAAATCTCAATGTAAAAAGGCAATTTACATACATGTATGTATGTAGTTATAAATTAAAGAAATGACTACAATATGTGAATTGTAGCTTAGTGAATTGAATATAACAAACGATGTTATTTACTGCAAAAGATGGCTGTGAGAAACCTGAAAACTCACAGTTTTTCATTTACATTGTATAATTAAAGCTACATGTGTACTAGTGTACTACTATGTATTATGTACTAGTGACTGCAAAATGTAGACCTGTGCATGCTAATTAAATTTAATAATATAATCAAAATTAATTACTGACAACTAATTATTTGTGTCAGTGGAAATTACATTAAGCTGTGTCATATTGAATTACTTCATGGACTTATGATTTCTCATGCCACAGAGATAGCCATGCAAAATGTAGCGATGTTCTTGAGATCAGTTCCAAACTGGGAAATAGTTGAACCATTGCCTGACATAGGTAAATGAAGATTTTGTCCTGCATGTGTACCAGTAGTTGAACTTTCAGACCTATGTACCTTCTTAATTACTGTTCAGTAGCATTTAAATGTAACTATTAATTACAGATTAAAACATTATATATCGGTAACAATTAGTAAGAGAAGTTTTCAATTGTCGGTGTGTCTTAAATTATTAGCATTTGTTGAATTGTTTGTACGGTCATGTAACAATAAATTACAAAATGAACTCACAAAAGATTTAATGAATAATACCGTAGTATTTAATAGAAATAACTGTGAACTTTTTGTTGTTTCAGGATGGCGGCTAAGAAAGCAGTTCTTCTTAATAAAACCTACAGATCCTACCAAGAAAGATATCAGAAATATTCTTACATGGGTATGAAATTTGATTTCTGAAAAAAGTAAAAGTTCTGATCTCTAGATAATTTTTTTTTTTTCGAGAGGGAGGGTGGTGGAGAACTTGAAATTTTCATGGATATACTCTTGAAATACATACATTAGATCTGCATTACATACAGTTATAATATTGTTATGGATAATTATATAGTAAAGTTTTGTCTCCTGTTTTCCTCTTTTAGACAGACTATGGTCCAGAGTTTTGTTTGGATGAGAAAGACCTGGAAGCAATATTAAAATTGATGACCTCTTCACAGGTAAATTGAGAAAGATATTTTTGCGCTGATTACACATAATACATATTCTGGGAACAGTAAGGACAATCCGCTGTTGTTTTTCTTTTTGGCAATGAACTTAAAACAGTAGAAAGCATTCTACAAATTATATTCTGTTTACACAAAGTTGCACTATTTTTGACAAATTAATGATTTCATTTAATTTTCCTTGTAGTTTGTTGTATAATTGAATAATAGCATTTGCTCAGGTTATTAGAGAGGATAAAAAGCATTTTATAAAGTTGATATTACATGATAATGAGTTAAGTAAATGATTGAAATGAATCTTGATTAGTAATTAATATAGGAATTATTTTTACACCTCAGGATATGTACATGTAAGAACTGTCTGCATATGGGAAAACACATTTAAGCAGTGCACTTAATACAGCATAATTGCTATCTATGTAGTAATTTTAATAAATATGTAAGGCGCTGTTGAATATTTTCATTGAAACAGCACGGTATAAATTTTTACGTTATTATTTTATTTATTACAGTATTAGTATCAAATTAGAGCATTTAGCCAACTACATAATAGCAAATTTTACTGGAACAAAATTGAGTTAAATTACTTTTTGTTATTGATATTTTTCAGCATCCTTATATATGCCCACCATCATTTACCACAATTAATTCAGAAGGAGTCATAATTGTGAGGAATTTTATGCCGAATGGAACACTAAGGGATTGCCTGTGTAAGGTACACGTACAACTTACATTATTTTTGCTTAACAGAGTGTATTTATTTGCTCATCTCAGTTATTTCTATTATTTTATTTCAGTTAGTTTTTGATCTCAACTATCGTGGTTTGTTTTCTTTGTGTTAATTAACTTTTTAAAATTATTTAATCTCTAGTCAATAACTTGATCAGTGTATTACATGTACGTACTGTCTAGGCATAAATTGAAAAAAGGGTAACTAACTTGTAGAAAATGTATTTCAATCTTCTTTGTTAATAGTGTATTATTTTAGGTTGATATTTAAGTGTCACAGTGGTAAAAAAATCACTCACCTTGTTAATCTTGGAATCTCCAGAATTCTTTTTTAGTACATATATGTATGAACTCATACTGATTGTACATGTACACTGTATGCCAAAGTCAAAAATATTTATTATTAAATAATAATATTTAATATGAATGCTAAATATTAATTGTTTTCACTGCTCCCTATAAACTTTCCTTGATTCTATATTGTAATTGCTTGCATTTCCACTGAACTAATACCAATGAGTAAATTAATGGAAGGGTTTTCAGGTGAGTGTCATGAAACCAAAACCAAACCAATAACTTACATGTACCAATTACACTACTCAGTCAATCTCAAGCTGTGGTAAAACCAAAACCAAAACCAAAGTAATTGCCTGATTACTTTCAACACTCAATTGAAAACCGCTCTAAATACTACCAATACTACCGGTATGTACATGTAACATGTTTTAACCAACATAAGGTTAGGCTTGTTTTTGAATCCCTCCATTGCGTATCAATGATCAAAATTTTTATTAGCTGTTTTTAATGTTTCAGGCAAAACCAAAACTAAATCAACTTAAGAAATATGGAAATCCAAAGTCTAGAGCTGTCTTACATGAACAGAACATTCAGCTTTTTGGAAGACAGATCTTAGAGGTGAGCATACATACAAAATTTGTGTTCAAATTAATGTACAATTCAATATACTGTATTATAATAAAGTATGATGTAATAGGCTTGTAGCAATGTAGTCTAATTGAAATTAATGCATTTGTGCTTTATCCTAAAATAGCACTTTATTAGCTAGAGAAAGTATGACAGTGTATCTTTATCCCAAAATATTTGTCATAGTCGAGGAAAAGGTTGTTGTTGTTCATCGTGGTAGATGCAATAATAAAATGTATTATCGTTTGTCACACGATGTAGTCACTTTAGATGTAGATCGCGACNGAGGGTTCGTTATATCGAAAACCTCGATATAACGAATTTCAGGGGAAACGACCAAAATGTTCGTTATATCGAGGTCATAGTTAATGATTGATCTGTAACACAGGTGACTTCTGTCACGCAGTTCACTGCAATTAGTGCCGCGTCTTGAGACGATAAAGCCTGGTGGCTTTCAGTATCAATTATTTTCGCTTTTTAGCAGACGCGCAGCTTTTGTTTACAAAAGAACGATACTTTCAGAGTAGCGATTTAAAATTGTTGCAACATACAGAGGTTGTACAGAAAATTCTCTATGTAAACTAGGAAACGGGCTTTAGTGTTGTTATGTTGCACTACCCAACATTTCCGGATTTCAAAGAAGATACAGAGCAGAAGTTAATTGATGTCGAAATACTATAGTGCCTATGTCTATGACAAATAATAAGCCGTTGACTGAAAGATTGCTGTCTCTTCACCATAAGGATTACAAGGATTTGTTGACTGTTGATCTGTTCAGCGTTTATCTTCTGTCGCGTGTAGACATTGTGATTCGTTATATCGAGGTAGATTTTACGTCTGGGCTTCCGGATTATGTTCGTTATATTGAAGTATTCGTTACATCGAGGTTCGTTATATCGAGGTTCTATTCCATACATTTTACTGTAACTTTAACCGGGACATAAAATATCGCTCGTTATATCGAGGACTTCGCTAAATAGAGGTTCGTTAAATCGAGGTTCCACTGTAGTCTTCTTCAGGCGATAAGGTCGACTGATTGCACGGTATCATTTATATCACAAAGGTCGGCTGTGATTGGTGAATTTCGATCCTCCTATTGTTCCATTGTTCCGACGAGTAGCTGTTCC